CAAGCCCATCTCGTCCAAGCAGTACCTCGAGAACGCGCTGCAGCCCACGGGCGGCTACAGCGACGACGCCGTCGAGAAGGACCAGATCCGCGCGCTGCTGAGCGAGTTCTTCCGCCAGCGAGACTGCGTCACGCTCGTGCGGCCCGTGGACGACGAGCAGAAGCTGCGCAACCTGCCGCAGGTGCCCTACGACGAGCTGCGCGACGAGTTCAGGAACAGCTTCGAGAGTCTGCGCAAGCGGCTCTTCGGCAAGGCCAAGCCCAAGACCATGTTCGGCAAGCCGCTCAACGGAGCCATGTTCGTCAACCTGGCGGGCTCCTACGTCGAGGCGCTTAACAGCGGCAAGGCGCCCGTGATCTCGAGTGCTTGGAGTCGCGTCGTGCAGGCGCAGTGCCACGACGCTCTGGAGGACGCGGTCGAGAGGTACAAGGCCGAGTTGCACGCGCGCGTGCGCAGCTACGTTTCGCCCGATCAATATGACGCAGATGCGGACTTTGAAGTGCTTGGCGATGAGAAAGATCGGAAGGATGGTGAACTTGAAGTGGTGGACAACGGCCAGGGAGCCAACGCCATGTTCGACGAGCACGGGAATCTGCGCAGCGTGGCGCTGCGTCCTGAGCTGGAGATGCAGGATTCGATAGACGAGGGAGAAGACCCAACAGCGCCCGAGAACGAGATGATCGAGATTATGGAGAAGGATGCCGATGCTGAAAGCACCAGTGTAGAACGCACGCGCTTGCCTTGCGCTGAAGAGAGACTCAAGAACTTGCACCGCCTGTGCAAGCGGTTGGCCAAGAAGAAGTTGCGGGAGATCGTGGATGGAGACATGGGGGCTGACGCCGAAGCTGGAGGCGGTGACGACTACATGGCGCAGTTCCGTGCTGCAGTGACTGCGGAGTTTGACTCGTACCGGCAACAGAATGCGGCGGCGTCCATGGCGTACTGTAGACACGTGCTGGATGTGCTGAATCGCCCCGGCACGGAGTATCTGAATCACCCCGAGCAGCACCGCCAAAAGTCTGCCATGGAACTCTTCCGTGAAACGCAGAACTTCTTACAAGGCGATCTGAGTGCAGTGTACAAAAAGTACTTTGCCCACGCAGTGGGTCCTTCAGCTGACGCGGCGTACTGCGAGTTCATCAGTCAGCGCGTTTTGTCGCAGGTAATTCAACGCACTGAAAACACTAATGCTGCCCATATGACGGAGGTGCGCGGACTTGAAAAGCAGATGAACGATCTGAGCGTGAAGGTTGCGGTGGCCCAAGGACAAGCAGGGGCGATGCAGGAACTCTCTGCCCAGCAGCAGCAAAAGTGTGAGCTTGGCGTAAAGGAGGCTGAGCAGCGCTGTGCAGCTGAGTTGGCTGGACTTCGATCTGCTTTGGAGTTTAAGACGAACGAGCTGGAGCACATTCTGAACCACAATGCTACCATGAAGCGCCTGGCCGATACAGCGCAACAGGGCCAGTACCGAGCAACGGAGTTCGCGTCGTCAGCATTCGCTCAAATCCTGTGTGGCTACCTCATCAAGCAGCACATGGCCCCTGGAGCTGGCGGCTCAGCCCGCGCCAAGTGGCAGCAGCGGTACTTCGTGCTACAAGGGCCACAGCTCAGCTTCTACGACACCAAGGAGGACTACGAGCGCTGCCGCTCAGACAATCCGCCGATGGACGTCACGGGAGCGATTATCGAAGACAACTATGCCGTACCGGAAGCCTTCAGCGTCTCCTTCCGCGATGACAAATACTACCCGCTGCAGCTTCATGCTAAGTCCCGCGAGGTCAAGGACGAGTGGGTTCGCAGTCTGCGTGCAGCTGCGGCAGGTCGATCGGGAGCGCGCAGTCATGCTTCTTTGAGTTCGTCCATGGGATCGGCGCCCTACACAAACGGAGATGCTGGCGGGTCTACCGCCTACCGTGGTGGAAGGGAGCCACCTCCTAGCTACACAGACTCGGCATCATCGGCCTATCGAGGTGGTGGCGCGGCGGGATACGCATACCAGAATTCTTCTTCGAACTTGTATGGCCCTACCGGTGGAAATGGAGGCAGCCGATACATGCAGATGTAGTCAAGTCTGAATGAGAGTAGTGCCAGGCACAAGTTGAGTCGCACGTTTAGCATTGATTTTGTTTACCAATTGAGCGAATATTGCTACTGTGCAGAACGCACTGTGGTTGACTACTCGTTCTTCACTTCAGGTGCATGCATGAATTACACACTACTTCCACTAGTAGTAGTAGATAGCCAAGCTACTGCCTCATTGCGCTCTTGAATCGTTGCTTGGCGTCAATCTTGGTCGGACCAATCTTCCCGCCCGTCTCAATCAAGTTCGACACACCGATATCTTCCAGGATCTTGATCACCGCACCGATGCCAATGCGCTTGTGGGGGTCCCAGCGGCACATTCTCTCCACCAGATCCCATTCCTTGTCCTTGAAGATTGCTGGGCGCTCAGGGATCATTTTCCTATCCCTCACGGCGTGAATTACAGCTTCATCCGGCATGCTTCTACCCCACGGAAGAGTTCCCGTGACAGCCTCAATGATGCACATTCCAAACGCGAAAATGTCCGAGGCGAAGCTTGGAGCTTTGCCCATCAGACACTCAGGAGCCACCCACCGCACCGCCTTCGTGGTTAGCTTCGGCTTAGGATTGGTCCCCAGCACACTCAGTCCAAAGTCTGCGATCTTCGCTGCTCCTCCCTCACAGACGAGAATGTTGTCGTTCTTCAGATCTCCGTGGACAATGTTGTGGTCGTGAAGGTGCTCGATTCCAAGAGCCGCTTGCAACAAGCGGAACCACAGCTCGCGGCGTCTCCCATTTTCTGGTTTCAAGTAGTCCGTAAGCGTCTGGCGCGTGGCTCGTTCACAGACAAAGAATGGCTGGATACCTTCATAGCACGCGCCATACAACTTGATCAAGTTGGAGTGGTTCAGCATAAACCACAAGTCTGCCTCGCGACGGAATTGCTCCCGAGTTTGCTCGTTGACTTCACCAGGCTTCAGTCTCTTAACCACCACATCCGTCCCGAACCATTTGCCCAAGTTCACGAAAGCAAACCCGCCGTCTCCAATTCGTTTCTCCAACTTGACTTGGTAACTGGGGATGAACCACTTGGGAATAGCTCTAGCACTCTTGATCCCACGCTCTTCGGCTTCTCTTAGTACCATGTGCATCGCCTCGACAACATCCGGTGCATAGGCGCCAGCACGAGTCTGTGCCTCAAACCGTAACATAGCGATGTCCTCCGGCCGATTCGTTTGCCCAAGAAATGTTGAAGGATTCTTCAGATACTCCAAGAAGACATCACGTTGGTCCTGCTGAGCTTTGTCCCACGTAGGTTGCCATTGGTGAACGGTATCCATGCCTTGAAGCTGTGGAAAACTCTGCACTAGATGATCGAGCTGGTGGTGGAAATGGTAGTTTTGACCAGCTACAGACTGCGAAGCGATCTGGATTGATGCACTAGAGCTATCGGACGTAGAGGCCTCAACCTTCTGGAAGAAGGCACAGACGAGCAAGCTGAAGTCTTCAACCAAAATCTCAGGTAACTCTCCAGCGTTCTCCAGCTGGTTGTAAACGTCTTCAAGACGATTAAACACCGACTGATCCATGGGGGTGAACTCATCTTCATGTTCTTCCAGCAGCTCGTCAAGCAGTTCACGGACCGTGGATCCGTAGCTTGGGATGACATAGCTCGAGATGTCATTTTGCTGCTGCGTTTGATTCGCACTGTCTTGAGTTTCATCCTTCGCCAACAACTCCATCTTGAAAACCACGTCTTCCAGCTTAGCCCTATCAGCAGGGCTCTCGGCACATAAATCTTGAAGGATCTCCCATTCATCAGTGGTGATGAATCTTGGCTTAGCGTCAGGGAGGCGCGTAGTGGTTTTGTGCTTCCACGAATCGAACGTTTTGTCTCGAGTTGCCCCCGGGAGGTTTGAATTGCGAGCCCCGAGAAGGAGGAAGAACACAGCCATACCAAATCTCAGCACGTCATAGCTCACTGCTGTTTCCTGGTCATCACCTTGATTTCCGCCGACAGGGTTTCCGATCACGTGCGAGCGATCCACCCGGCTTCGAGGCACCAAGCCCAATCCATCCAAGACACCTCGGCGTTCTGAGTAACTGCTCAAGAGCGTCGCAGGAGTCACGTCATGGTACACGAGGCCACGATCGTGCACATACTGGAGGCCAAGTGCAGAGTTCGCCAAGTAGCGCCACACGTCCTTCTCGTAGGTAGGTGGGAAGCACGTTTCGTGAATGACAAAAGGTTTGCCGACGTACGACGCGCCGTAGAACTTCCTCAAGTGCGGGTGGTTGAGCTCCGTCCAAATGGACGCAAGTCGCACACACACCTCCTCGCACACTTCGCCTCGCACTTCATCACTCACATTTTCATCGGCATCTTTCTCCCTCGCGACGTCCTCCCATCCTAACTTGCTGTCCTCCAGCTTGGCCTTGTTCACCCAGGCCCACTCGTGCTCAGAGGTGACGAACCAGTCCGGCAACTTTCCGGATACAACACCGGCCTTCTGGACCACCACGTCGTACACCATGGCGATGGTATCCAACTCCCCCGACGTCAACTTGTCCCGGTACTTCTCGTCCTTGCCAGCGAACGGAGTCAGGCCGTCGTGATACTTCTCCACACAGTAGCGCAGCAACGTCACGATCTCCAGCTGCTGGTTCTGGTTGCCCAGCGCTGCCACCACCTGCTCGTCGTCTCGGATGAAGTCCTTGAAGACTTGAAGTCGGTCCTCGCGCTCAGTGAGGAGGTGGTTGTGCCAGTCCTCGCGAGTCTCAGGGTCGTGGATGTCGAGCGTATCCAGAGCGCTGTTGATGTATCGGTGCAGCAGCGTCACCACGCGCCCCGTGTCCGCCAGCTTCAAGAGCTGGTTCGTTTGGCTCTCGTACGAGTCCAGCAGCTCCTTGAGGATGCGCGTGAAGCGGACCATGATGGCCACCTCGCTCACCTCGTCGCGGCACTCGTCACGCAGCTTGCCCACGAAGTGGTCGGCCAGGCGGTCGGGGGTGCGGAAGTCCCCTTCGTGCTTGGAGTGCCAGCGACTGTCCTCCGGGATCTTGGAGTCCATCCAGAAGCTCTTCATCGTCTTGCTCATGGTCGTCGTCATGGCGCCTCACACTTCACTGCAGCAGGATGCTGTCTACTCTATCCCACGAGAGAGTGGAGGAGGTCCTGCGTCGTCCGTGGCGAATGCCGAAGTGACCTGGATGCGGCTACTGTCCCGCCATGTTGTACCCATCGACTAGCTGATTCAAGCACACGACCAGACCTGCGCAACGGCATGGGATGCAATCAAGGAGGCTTTCGAATCGCAGAGCTGTGGTTTACAGCTGAGCTGAAGTGCTCACGCTGTGCAGTGGACTCCATTGCACGCTGTGAGCACTACATCAATGGTTTTCAAGAAATGCAATGAGATCGACTACGAACTACTCAGTGTTGTAGAGTTCCTTGCACTTGCCACCCCGCAGACCTTCCCTCCTCGAAACGCTAACTCACAGCAGACCAGCTCGCTCCACCCCACTGCTGATCGCGCAACAGTCCAAAGTAAAACTCAGTGAAGCGATCGCACCTCGCGGCTCACATCGCGGGCTATCTTGGTTTCGATTGATTGCCCACTTTGCATTTTATCCGTCATCAGGCAAGTGTCCATCGATGCAGGCTGCGTTCCGAGCACGCTGAGACTTTGTTGTGAGCTGATACTTGGCGGAATGGGGAAACATGACACCTCCTCCAGATGAAAAATGCCTGCACACTTCATGTATCTGCGCTGATCCAATGGTGCTTATTCCCACAGTAAGAAAGAGGGGGCTTGAACTCCAGCAAAAAAACTTGTTAGCGGCTTCGTTCAAATCGGGCTGACACTGCACTTGCCTTGAGCCGATTAGCAGGATGTAGTCTGCGCTCTCCAATTACCCAACTACTTGGGCGATAAAGATTGACAGTTTCAAGTGAACGAATGTGATTGGCTACAAAAGTTGAAGTTGAAGTGCACACTCGAGTCCGCATTCACTCTCGATTCCGCATCCGCGCGCGCACTTCAAGGCCTCGGCAGGGAGAAAGCGAGCATGTCCGTCCGTCGCGAGGTGGTCACCCTCTCCCAGCTGCTACGCCGCAACGAGAACTCGTAGGCCCTTTCATCTCCTGATGGCTATCGACTCGAACTATGAGCTCAGTGTTTTGTGCGTGCTGGTGCAGGAACTCACGGCGTGGAGCTGGACGCGCGCCGCCTTTGCCGCTGCAACGATCGAGACGCCAGTCCAACTCGGCGCCGTTCACAGAAATGTCAGGGACTCAAAGACAGCAACAGCCGCTCAGCTTCACGCAGCAACTTCGGGATGCAAACCGCGTGTCGTCTTCGCAGGCGGAGGTTGGGGCCAGCCAGACGAGCAGTGCTGCGCTCTCGCAAGAAGGTGCGTTCACTACGGGGATATCGGTGCCATTCTGAGATGGCGAGGAGCTAACTGGGGTGTCCGGGCAGTTTACGATCCCGAATGTGAACAGCTAAGCGCCATCACGTCGATGTCGCAGTCTTCCTTCTCGCAGACCCAGTCACAGAACTTGCTGGGGTCGAGTCAGGATGACCAAGTGAGAGGGTGAACCCTGTGCTTGCATATTTGCTCTTGCTGCTCTGACGGCGTTGTGTTGGCTGCAGCTGCAACGTCTTCAGCAGTGGCAAGCTCAACACGCGCTACCCCCGGTTCCTCCGCCTCCTGCCCACTGCAACCTTAGCGAGAAGCTGCAGGAGTTAGAAAAGAACCTCACGAAGGCACTCACTGAGCAAACGGACCAGCAGAAGCAACAGCAGCAAGTGTCGATGGAGCGGCTCGCAAAGCCGATCAACGAATCGGTTGAAGAAATCAAGGATAAGCTCGCGACCAGCAGCGACGACCTGAAGAAACAACGATGCAGCCTTGGGAAGCTATCCGACGACGTCAAGGGGGTTGTTGTAGCCGTGACCGATCTCCGCAAGCAGGTTTCCAATTTGTTAGCCGTGTTGATCTCGCTGGATTGATATCAACTCACCATGCTTGGAAAATGCTTACAGAATCTCGAGAACAATGAAGCATGCGAGGAAACCCGAAAGGCAGTGGCTACCGAAGCAGCTGCGGTCAAAACAGCCCTTACAGAGCTTCAGGCCAGGATCGAAACAGTCGAAGCTAGTGTGAAATCGTGCTCGGACAGAATCTCTCGCGTACTGGAAGAAGGCAGATCCAATCACGAGGCGGTGCTGTCGACTGTGGTGGCATCGTCCTGCAATTGTCCCGAAGAAGGTATACCCGGAGTAAAATTGGCTGAATCCTCCTCCGGCTCTGGACGAGCTACCGGAAAGCGAAGGCGAAGTCCATTCCGATGCGACGTTGCCGGAAGGAAGCCTGCTCGGTACTCTTCCACTCCTTCGATTGATGACTCTCCCCCGCGCATTCGAGCTCAATTCTCATCGCGCAACCAAGTTGAAAACACTGTGTGGCAGGAGGAAGAGGTCGATTCAAGCGGCCTCCATCACGCTCTCGAGCGGATTCAGTCCCTCCGCTGTAAGCGACGCAGCTACCAGCACACTCGTTGAGGGTGTGCAGCACTCCATCTAGTAGCAGTGAAAAAGGAACAGCAGCTATCACTCTGTCAGTCCACGAGCAGGCCCAACATTACCTTCAGACAATGACCAACCAGCGATTCTCGTTCGCATGTATTTTCATCATTTTTCTGTCATGTTTTCCTTTTCCAGGCCGTGTCTGCTGTGCTCCCGACCACATATCGCTTTAATCTGCTCGTCCTGTATCCATCCAGCGTCTAGAACTCCGGTCGCGTCTGCACAGCCATCCAACATACATAAAATACGGTAAGTCATGCGTCTCTCCCTCTCTCTCCTCTCGTACCCCTGGCAACGTAGCGCCACTCCTTTGTATATGACCTACCGGGTAGCCAGCGCCGTGGGTGGGGTCCTGGATGAGCTTGGCGTACTCGTCGCGGAGGCCCTTGCACGCCATCTTGTGGTTCACGCCGTTCTCGCGGTAGCACGTGGCCAGCTCCTCGCGCACGACCTTGAGCGTCTCCTGCGCGAGCTGCACGCGCTTGGCGTACTCGCGCTCGGCGGCGCGGATGGCCAGGATCTCGTCCTTGGAACGGAGCTGAGCGGCGTACATGTCTGGATCTCTGGTCGCAAGCCCCGACACACTCGGCAAAATACTAGACCGCCGGGATGCAAGAGCAGCGGTGGCCTCTGAAATGAAGGAGGGGGAGGACGGGAGGCGTGGGAAGTCCCCATACTGAATCCAAGGCTGTTTGGAAGGGGCGTCACCACAACTGTACCATTTTGCAGGTTCATTCGTACTTAATACAAGGCTAGCATTCGAGCACTTTGGAACTGGACAGAATGAAAATGGGCACTCTGCGATTTCACATGTCAATGGGCAAGATTTTCTTATGGTCTTGTGCTACTTGCTCGGTCGATGGTACTCAAGAAGCCTCGGTTTGCGGGGCATTTCACTGTGGGCCCGTACAAGGCCGTTTGAGTCAAACTTTGACCGGATATCGTGTGCAAAATGCTGCCGTTCATGCAATTATTTGCTTGATTAGCCGAGCGGATCCCCGCAAGCGGGGCTCTTTACCGGTATACAGTTTTACGCAGAGCAGCTGAGACCACCTGCTATATTGCCTGCATTGCGCTGACTAGGGTGCTCGCTGTTCAGTCTTCAGTCGGAAGCGAACATGTCGGTGGGGTACAGTGAGTGATTGTTCCACCACCAATGTTGCAGCAAAAAGAATTGGACAGGACGATTGCTCGGGTACCAAACAAGAATGGCGGAATGATATACAATTCGCAGCGTTCTTTAGACTGTATTTAAGTATCTGACGCCTTGCTATTGTGGTGATCGTCGCGATTTACCAAGCTTACTTTAGCGATTACCGCTATCCGATAGGGGCTTGGACAGCGTCCGGTGCAAGTTGCGCTCAGTTCCTACGCATCTCGTGAGAGGCGTGCAGGGGACAATCTTACTTCGGATAACGCAGCTAAGCCCATTTCACTTCACATGATTCAACGCAACACCCACAACGTACAGTGTTTGCACGACAAATGATTCAACGCAATCAGGAGCGCGAAGCGGCTCAGAGTCTGAGTCAGACCGCAGTGCGGTACCCGCAGCCGGGGCAATTCATTTTTAACCGTGTCCCGGGCAATGCCCATGCAAGTATCTCTGTGACGAGGTTCACAGGCACCAATAACATTTCCTCACGGCGAAACGTGGGATTAAAAGCAATATTTTTAAATGACGTTACGGGGTCGCTGCGTGCGTTGCCAAGGGTCCATCAGTGTCCTCTATATGCACAAATACGGGCTCCGTACTTGTTCATGAAGATAGGACTTGCGCCGGTAGACACTACATTGTACGTACGCAAATACGCTTGGTCTCCAACATCCCTCCCTGTAGACTCTGCAAGGTACGCGGTGACCTTAGTGGAGACTGCCGCCAAGTAGCCGACCACGTGCTTATTGTTCATTTCCGAACTCGCCTTCAACTGCGCAGATGTCCAAGCAAGTTTCTCCATCTCCGATTCTCACGCCGCAGTTGACACCCTCCGTCACGGGTTACGTGAGCACCAAGCTCTGGGATGAACGACCGGCAAAGTACGCCAAACATGTGCTCAAGAACGTCTGCATCATTCTGTTCATCCTCACGGTCTTCAGTCAAGTCGCGAACTTCGCCATCTCCCAGTCACTCAAAAACTTTTTCGTGAAGTTGGGTTGGTCCAACAAGGGCTCCACATCGATCAAGTTGACCTACGACTCGCTCTGCCAGTTCATGTGCATTGTGGCCGGGTACATCTCGGACGAACGCCTCGGCAAGTTCAAGACTCTGCTGTCGGCTGCCACACTCGATTGCTTTGGCCTTCTACTCATCGTTATTGCTGCACTGCCAGCTGTTCTAAACCACGTCGGTGCGAGCAAGATCATCTTCAACATCGGTTTGTTCTTCGGTGTCGCCATTTCCCAAGTCTGCCTTCGGTCGCTCGTGGTCTCGTACGATGGCGATCAATTCTCGCCCACCGCTCCTCCAACCGAAAAGTCCCTCTTTTTCAGCATCCAGTACGCGGTCGCCAGCGTCGGTGCATTGATCGGCTTCGGAGTGTTTCCTTACGTCTCCATCCACGGAGTCGGCGCCATCCCCGCCGAGTATGGCTACTTCAGCGTGTACGTCATCGGCTTTGTGATGATTGTCTTCTTCCTGGCAACGCTTTGGGCCTTCCGCAAGCGCTATGTGAACGTTGCTCCGAAAAAGGACTCTATCAGCCTCGTGATCAAGATTGTGGCGAAGCATGCTAAGAGGAACTTCAGCGCCAAGATGATCGTTCTTGGGACGATTCTGTACATTGCTGCGTTTGTGCTGAGCATCGCGGCCTCGTTCCTGTCGGACCACGGCGAAGTTGGTCACAACATCTCGTACGCGTGTGGAGTCATGATCGTCGTTGCGACGGTCCTCTGGGTCTACTTCGGTCGTAGCTCGGAGTTCATGGAATCCGCCAAAGACACGCTGGGCGGTCGATTCGACAGTGAGCTTGTGGACGGCGTGAAGAAAGTCATTCGGATTCTGCCTTTCAACGCGTTCTCCGTTGTGTTTTGGATGTGCGAGAACCAAGGTGGCAACAACCAGTCGATTATGCAGCAAACGGACGTGCGTCTAGGCAGCAGTCTGGACGCAACTCAAGTACCTGGGCCTACGATTCAGATGTTCAACCCCGTTGGCTGCATTCTCTTCGTCCCGCTCACGGAGAAGGTGATCTATCCCTTGTACACAAAGTACGCGGGCAAGCCTCCGAGCCTTTATGGGAGGGTGCTGGCCGGGTACTGCGTCATCGCCGTGGCAATGTTCTGGACTGGCTGCTTCGAGGTTGTCCGACGCAGTACTTCTCCGCTGACCTACGTGGACGCGAACGGGGAGACCAAGTTTATTCTAAACGACGACGGAGACCAAGTGATGAATGCGATTCCGTGGTGGACAGGTATCCCCCAATACCTGCTGATCGCCTTGGCGGAGGTGCTCGCTGTCGTTTCGTGTTACGACGTCAACACTCGGAGGTGCCGCAGAGCATGCGTAGCACGTCTATCGCTCTAACTTTCTTCGCCAACTCCATGGGAAGTACGCTGCTCTCGGTGCTTGTGCTGCTCCTCGGCAAGTACATTCCTGCAGACCTGAACAACGGTCACATGGAGTACGTGCACTTCACTGTCGGCAGCATCATGGTCGCTACAATTGGAGTCTACGTCGTGGTGATGAAAAAAATGCAGCTGGGAATGATTCCTTCTGTAGGCAAAGACGGTCATCAGGAAGTCGAGGAGGCAACGATCAGTCCAGTGTACTACGACGACCAACTCGCTGGAATGACATCAAGAACGAGCAGGGGGCAACGCATCTAAGAGTACGGGTAGAAACTTTCTACTAGAAAGCGCCGCGCGGATCACGACTGCAACTTGTTTTTGAAAGTAAGGTTGCCATTTTTGTTCTGGAATGATATTTTCTCGAACCTGTCGGTCTTTCAATCTACAGGGTAAGTACCGGTGGATCATTTAACTTTGCTGCAATCAATTACGTGTAAGGGAACCAGGCGAAGACATTAGAGGCCGTGGACTACGCACGTTTTCGATCGTTAGATCGCATTCCTGCGGCTTCAGGCACACAAACCTGTTCGGACTCTGGGATCAAGCTGCTCATGGAGAGCATGTGAAGTATGATCAATGCAGGATATTGCATTTATCTATAACGGCATGCACAGTAAAATGTGCCGACAGCTACACGAGATGGCGCCGAAGCCGCTGCAGCCGAAGACCCACGCGCATAATCAAAATCGTACCCTACCCTCTCCCTGGTGTTACTGACAGTGAAATAGTGCACGTACACCAAATTAATGACAGCGACCTTGTGATACGAACTTCTACAAAAACTGCGTCCGTCATCGATCGCCCTGATCTGGTCATTCCGAATTCGACGACGATGGAGGCGTACCTGCACAAGCACTGGCCGCAGGGCTCCGTGTCCGTGAGCTGCCGCGTGTACGCGAGCCAGCGCCGCGCCGACGAGCACAAGCGCCTGCAGCTGACGGCCAAGGGCATCGAGCTGCGCAGCGTGGGGCCGTCCACGTCCAGCGAGCCGGACGTGATCCCGTGGAGCTCCGTCCTGGGCGCGTCCGAGTCCACGAGCGGCATCCGCCGCCGCTTCGTGCCCGCGTACGAGGGCAGCGAGTACGGCGAGGAGAAGGAGTTCGTGGTCTTCGGCTGCGCGCCCAAGCCGGAGGGCGCCGGTTGGGGCGGGCTCATTGGCGGGCTGTCGTCGCTGGCCACGGCGGTGCTGCCCACTGCGCTGACCGGCAGCAAGCCCAAGGACGCGGGCGTGGAGCGGACGCTGCTGCAGTGGGTGCTCAGGTGCGATGACGAGGACGGGGAGGTCGTGGCCACGAGGGCGGTGAGGGCCATCAGGTTCCTGGCGGACCCGAGGGCGGCCAACAGCGTCAAGGCGGCCGAGAAGCTGCTGGATCCGTACGGATTCATGCCGCCTCGGAAGGTGAGAGCGCGGTTGGTATTAGTGGGCGTGCGTAAGGCGGATGGGGCACTGATTGGGTGCTGCAGTTTCTGGTGGTGATCAACCCTGCAGGAGGCACGGGCAACGCCCAGCAGACGTACGAGCAGCAGGTGGCGCCGGTCTTTGAGCAGGCCAACGTGGAGGTGGAGACAGTCATCACGCGCCAAGCAGCGCACGCGACGGAGATTGTGGCGGAGGTGCCACTGGACAAGTACGACTGCATTGTGGCGGTCGGAGGCGACGGACTGCTGTCGGAAAGTGAGTGTGCATGAGGAGCGGTCTGTTGTGGAAGTCGCAGCGCTGATCCTCGCGGGTGCTTTTTGCTGTTGTTGTTGCTGCAGTGCTGCAAGGTCTCATGAACCGCAAGGACTGGCAAAAAGCGATTCTACAGCCGCTGGGGGTGCGTATCGATCTATACGTTGAGCGATGACTTTAGTTTTGCTGTTAACTCGAACGTGGTACCGCTTGCCAGATCATTCCGGGTGGCTCGGGCAACGGGCTGTCTGCTTCGCTGCTGTCTCGTGCTGGCGAGAGGTTTGAGGCATTGAACGCAGCCTACTCCCTCGCCAAGGGTCAAGTTCAGGAGCTGGATCTGTTCACGGCAACGAACGGCGATGGCAAGGTCATGCACGGATTCTTGTCGCTGGAGTGGGCCTTCATTGCCGACATGGACATCAAATCCGAGCGGTACCGCTTCTTCGGCGACATGCGCTTCCTTATCGCGTCCACACTGCAGATCTTCGGTTTCGGCCAGACAAACTTCCCTGGTCGACTACGCTATCTCGTGTCAAAGGACGATGAGCTTCTTCCAGCGAAATACCACGACACTTTCAGCGGTGAAGAGCCGACAGCCAAACCAAAGTGTGTTTGCCTTGAAAAGGAGGACGAGACGAGTGGAGAGAAATCGGAGGAGTGGGAGGAGATGGATGGGCCGTTCTACATGTTCTGGAGCATGAACGTGTCCCATGCCGCCGCTGACGCTCACATCGCGCCGCCAGCTGACATCTCTGACGGCTACTTCTACCTCATGCTGGTTTCTGGAGAGAGCTACTCGCGGATGGGGCTTGCTAAACTCATGATGGGAATCGAGGACGGATCGCACCTGGAAGCGGACCGCGTGCAGTTAATTCGCACACGGGCCTTCACGATCAACGCCAGCAATGCCAGCGACCTCATGTGCGTTGATGGAGAACTCTTTCCTGGACCTGAAGTGAAGATTGAAGTACACCGCGCGTTGGGTCGGGTGCTCTGCCTGCCAGGAAAGAACAAGTAATCCTGCTGATAGAGACGCCACCAAGGCTTATCTTGATAGTGTGGATCGCGCTCTGTTTCATAATGTGGCTTACTGTCGGTACTCCATTACGTAGGAGGTGGGCAGCAGATCTGCTCTCATTGTTGGTGGAGACGTTGTTCATTGGTTTAGGGAAAGAATATTACCATTTGCTGCACTAGATGCCTCGCGCTGCTGTCCACACCCGTATCTCCTCCTTAACTCGATCCTGATGGCACTGAAGTACGCGGGGGTCGACGCATTCCACCACTTCGACGTTGTTGTCGTTGAACGGGTACGGCAGAGTCAGCAGCTCTTCAGCAACCGGAAGAGCAACGGACTTGTCGAACAAGGTCGTGTGGGGCTCTCGATCCTCCGTTTGCTGGGCTTGATGGTCTGCTCGTGCCCCCGTGGCGTGACGACGCTCTAAGAACTCGCATGCGGCACGACGACTGACAGTCTTCCCATTCAGCACCACAGACTCGCCCCAAAACGCTGCTACCGCTTCCGCATGTTGTTGGTCCTCATCTGTAGAATTCGAGTTTCCGTGCAAAAGGTTCTGTAAGTCGTGCATCGTGAGTTTCTCCTGCTCCTTGCGTCCAGGGGCCACACCCAGCCGCTGCAGTCCTTCGTCATCATCCTCAGCTTCCTCGCTGACAGATTGCTCCGCTTCGATGGTACCAGGTTTCTGCTTGTGCCCAAGTCGGTAGATGCGCTCTTCAACTGAGCCCCGCACAATAAAACGGTGGACACGAGTACGACGGGTTTGACCCAACCGATGAACGCGGTTGACAGCTTGGGCTTCAATACTGGTGCTGAGCAAGGGCTCGATGAGGAGCACTTCGGTCGCCTCAACGATGTTCAGTCCGTTGGCACCGACTTTAAACGGTAGTGCTAGCACACACGCGGCTGGGCAAGTTTGAAACTGGGCCAAAACTTTGGGTAGCTGCCGCTTCGTCCCATACATGAAGCAGCGTACGCCCAGGCGGGGCAGAGCTTGTAGCGCTAGCTCCAGCATCTGGGACCATTGAGAGAAGAGCAAACACTTGACGCCCGGGTTTTCTTGCCGGAGCATATCCACACGAGCGAGTAAGGCGTCCAGTTTAGAGCCTAAGCTTCCGCCCGTGCGGTGTGGAGGATGGCGTGGAATCCCAGACACGATCTCGGTTTGGCTGTCTGACGGAGATGAAGTTGAATCTGCAGGTGATTCTTCGACCTCGACGACCACCGTCACGCTGTCAACAGGCGATAGACGACGGCAGGTTGGACAACGGACCTTTTTTCTCGTGTGCTGGCGACCGCCTGTCAGGTTGGCTACGCAATTCGTACAGAAAGCGTGGGCGCAGGGCAACACGGCGCGCTTTTGCGTAAACTCCTGTAAGCACACAGCACATGAAGCTCGCGCAGTTTCCCCAGACGAAACCCTCCCATTCTGCTGCGCTTGGCGCGTGTCCGCTTCACCTTGTAGCTGTAAGAGATACCGCAGTTGGGCCATTTTGTCACGCAAATCGAGATCAGCTGCTGCGCGCTCCGCTTCCAACTCGGCAGCACGCACGGGTACTTCGACACGCTCCAGTTTGTATAGACGCTCAGCTTTAGTCCGAGCTGCTGGCTCACCAGGCTGGCGTAAACGCAATTGGCTGCAGGCCATTACCAGTTCGTCCAATGCACCGAGACGCTGGTGTTGAGCCTGGAAGAGCTTTTTAGCAGCCTGCCATTCACGTTGAAGCTTCGTCCAGAATTCCGTCTCACTCTGCATTGCCGTCTGAATATCGTTAGCACGTGCTTTTCCAGCCGGTTGAGAGCGCAACGCGTTTCGTGCACAACCTGAAATCTCCTTGAACACTTCAATGAATAGAGATACGGATGAACCCCCACCGCTGGACTTCGTCGCTAACGCATCATCATCTTCCTCCATACTACCATCATTATCGTCAAACAAATCCATGATCCGTGTCGTACCGGGCGAAGTCTTATCAATTCCAAGAAAATGCTGTCGATAGGCGTCTAGCTCTTTGTAGAGCTGGCAATGAACACACATCGGTCCTGTACCGCCGTCGCGGCATTTCGCACAATTCCCAGATAGCTCGATATCAGCCTCTGAAGGCGTTCCTTCACTTAGGGCTACAAGACGTTCAAAAAGAACCCGTCGTCGTTTCGCCAACGCTTCTAGCTCGCGCACCAGCAGCAATCGCAGCGAGCGCGTGCTTACAAGCTGCGAGCAAAATGTCGTTCCCCAGCGCGTGCCGAACCCAGAAAGTCGGGCTTGGACTCGCGACACAAGCTGTTGATCGCAGTCTCGCCCGCTCTTCTCGACGATAGCAAGAGCGTCACTCCACCAATCCCCTGATGTACACAGCATGTCAGATTTTGCTCTGGAGGGAGAGTGCTGCTCCTCACTAATCTCGTTGAAAACTTGTCTGAATTTGTCGAGCGCTTGTGTGTGCATCATATCAACCTGGAGCAGATAAAACTGTCGGATCTGTCGAGCACTGTCACCAAGCAACGAACATTCACGCTTAATTGCCAACAGGTCTTCATCACGCAGTTCAGCTGAGCCAGGAAGTAGCCCCGTCGACGATACTCGTTTCTCTAGAGCAGGCAGCTCTGGCAGCAGATACTCCTTTATAGGATTGGCATTCGTGTCAGCGGGAGGATCTCCATTTACATCTGCAACATCTCGTTCAGGAAGCGAATACAGTTGCTGGGCGCATTTCTCCAGGTTTTGTAGGATGTGCAGTCTAGGCAGCAAGTCTGCGCGGAAATGTGACCAGTTCGTGCGAATAAGCCTCATTTGAGCCATGTACTTGAGCGCAGCACCCGATATATCATGATCCAACACAAGCAGAGCAGCTAGGCCATTCTGTGCTCCGATGAGCTGCCGCTGAGCGTCCTCACATTCCCGCGTGGCTTTATTCAAGAGCTCCTGAAGAAACGTGTCCATGGTCATAACAGCCCCGCCAGTAGAATTACCCCCAGTACCCCACGCCTGTCGAGCACCGCCAACTTGAGGGTGGCAGCACAGCTGCCGCAAAATGAGCAGGTCCTGCCACAATCGATCTTCTCGCGCAATGACATCACTTGACTGCTCCGACTGCTGGCGTTGACGCTGCTGAACTAGAGAGACAATGCGTTTTTCTTGTTGGTCGTAGAAATGGCGTTCTACAGCAGCGAAGTCACACCAGATAACCTCGCTCTTCTGAGGAGGGAGATCCAACTGGTCCAAGACGTGCTTTTTGCCAGTACGCCACAGAATACCGCACCCACAAGCGATGGGTTCGGAGTCCTGGCCACTCCATAGTAGTAGGTCTAAAACACGGTCGATTGCTCCTTCACAAAAGCTGTGCTCGATTGACTCTCGGAAGAAGGCCAGGTCTGCACGCTCTTGTTCATCATGTTCCGCCTGTAGTAGAAGTTGATTTCCGCCCGTTGATTGCACTGACGCGTAGGGTGAAACTCGTAGAAAACGCAAGTAGCCAAACAACTCGCCCACGCGTGACGAGAACGGGGTGCCCGTGACTACCCATCGGTTGTCTGCGCTAAGTTTTGACAACGTCAGTGCTGCTTGCAAGCGTGTATTCTCCACTCCTACCTGGGCTTCGTCCATACACACGCGCCAAAAGTGTAAGGCCACGAGAGGAGAGCCCACAAATGCGTAACGCTTGTGCTGAGATCGTGTACTGGAACGACGATCGCCTCCTTCAGTCGTAGGAAGATGACGCAGATCGGCACCTAGAGCCTCGTACGTTGTCAGCACGACGTCATGGCGAGCTAGCACAAGACCAGGCGACGCCAGCACTTGCCATTCAGCACTGGGGCCAGTACCCTCCAATCTGGCCCTCAATGCCCGAACACCGGGATAACGCATGACAGAAAGAGCCCCCGCACTGACGTGGCGAGAGATCTCGTTCTCCCACTGGGCATGAATAGGCTCTGGTGACACGATAAGCGTTGTACGCGCTGCGAAGCTTGGTCCCTCTTGACTCTGGCAATGATAACACATGAAACCCCCACTTGACCAAATTGAAGTCGCTTCACTAGTAGTCGAGCCTCTCGATTCGAAATCCCAGATGCCGTTTGTTGCAGAGCTCCCCGTGTTTTCATCGACCATATACCCAGTGCAAAGCTGGTGATGCCACGTGCCACAAAAGTCGCACTGCACAAAACCCATCGGGTGACCTTCTGATGAGCCACAAATGCACACCACAGTATCATCAGTGACGTCTGTGCCCTCCTCCTCTAGCAAACACGAGTGCGTCGACAGTAGCCGCGGCCTCGACAACGTCTTGCGGTGACTCAAAACCAGTGCGATCACCTCCACCGTTTTCCCAAGTCCCATTTCATCCGCTAGAATCCCACCACGCACCGATGACAACTCCATCTCAATAGGCCGTAGCTGCTCCTGCAGCAACTGCGGTCTGCCAGTTGACGGAGCTGCGTGGAACACTGCACAGAGCGGATCGTACGCCTGAACCTCCCTTGCTGCCGCCTTATTGAACGAAATGCAGAGAGGTAAGGTGTGACCTCGTTGTGACGTCTCTTCCTCCCGCGAGAGCATCCAGGACACTGCTGCCTTCTGGTACGGCCGCAACGTTGGCAGCAAATCCGCCGAGGCCGCTTGTGCGGCCTCATATTCGCTAATATCTTTCTCCAGTTGGCGGTCTGCGTCGATACGCGCGTAGATTTCAGGCATAGCAAACGTCTGGTTTTTGAATTGCTCGCATACCGCGCTGTTGCTTCCCACACACCGAGCATACAGCACCTCAATCTCGTTCCAGTACCGGAATTTGCATGACGTCTCCGCGTCGGACAACCCTCTCTGTGCGTCGTGGGTCTTCTTCAGCAACCAAATCATCACGTGATGCATCGCTCGCATCGGAGTCGCTCTGGGCGCTGCAGACCCAGGCAACAGGCCCCGAGAGCTGCAATGCTCCATGTATTCGCGCCAGGCCACGCACGCTGCAAAGCTGAAGGTCCAGTCATCGTCGTCCTCTGCTTCTCTCTTGGCGTTTAAATGGAGACTCAGCAGTCCACGCTCTGCTAACGTCGCAATGTGGGGGCGCCAGCCTTCGTATGTATCTGGGAAGAGCTCAGCTAGCGACACGTGGGCGTCTATATCGCTCTGCCCTTGTCCATGGAGGCTCAGCTTCACCTGGTTGTTCTCTGTAAGTGCCAGATTAATCTGCAATTGGAGAGCGGCCTCGCTAGCGCATACTACAGCGAGGGACGGCGCCAGACTGGAGGGCACGGGGAACTGGAGCCTCAGTGGGTCTGCTTCTTCTTCTTCTTCTGCGTCGGCGGCGGTTGCTGCGGCGTTGGAGAGAGGCAGAGGCTCGCTGCGCTGGCGACGGAATGGAGCGCGCTGGTGTTTGCCTCGCTTCGAGCGCTTGGGGGCGCTGGGCTCAGCCGGCGGCGGCAGCGGCCGCTTGGAAGGTGTCGACTTGCGTCGGGGCATCTGTGAAATGATTGCCAACGTGCACTTGGATTTTGTATCACATACAAACTTCAATATTTTTACATCTGATTACGAGATGGACGTAAAAAACCTTGTTACGCTACAGTTCGCCCGGCCTGCTCTTGGTCCTCCTCGCTTACGGTACTGGCACACGAGGAATCATGCCAAGTTGCATCTTGTGCATCACCACGACGTAGACGCCGATCGTAAGGGCCATAATACCGCTGAGTGTGAAGTAGAGGTACTCCATGTGGCCGCTGTTCAGGTTGGACGGAATGGACTTGCCGAAGAGCAGCACGAGCACCGAGAGCAGCGTACTTCCCATGGAGTTGGCGAAGAAGGCGAGCGCGATGGCTGTGCTGCGCATGCTCTGGGGCACCTCCGAGTAGTTGATGTCGTAAGACGCGACGGCCGCCAGCACCTCCGAGAAGGACACGAGCAGGTACTGCGGGATGGCTGTCCACCACGGAATGTCGTTCATCACTTGTCCACCATCGTCGTTCAAGATGAACTGAGTCTCCCCATTGGTGTCCACATAGGTCAGTGGGCCTGCATTGCGGCGGATGATCTCGTAGCAACCCGTCCATATCATGGCGACAGTGACGACGCAGTACCCGGCCAGCACCTTCCCGTAGCGACTCGGAGGCTTACCCGTGTACTTTGCGTACAGCGGGTAGATCACCTTCTCTGTGAGGGGGACGAAGAGCATGCAGCCGATGGGGTTGAACATTTGGACGGTGGGTCCTGGCATTTGACTCGCATTGGGGCCACTGCCGAGACGCACGTCGGTTTGCTGAATGATCGACTGGTTGTTGCCGCGCTGGTTCTGGCACATCCAGAAGACGACTTGGAAAGCGTTTAGAGGCAGAATCCGAACCACTTGCTTCACGCCGTCCACCAACTCACCATCGAATTGACCGCCTAGCGTGTCCTTGGCAGACTCCATGAAGGTTGAAGTGCGGCCAAAGTAAACCCAAAGCACTGTCGCGACGACGATCATGACCCCGCACACGTACGAGATGTTGTGACCAACTTCACCATGGTCCGACAGGAACGAGGCCGCGATGTTCAGCGCAAACGCGGCAATGTACAGAATCGTTCCGAGGGCGACCATCTTGGCGCTAAAGTTTTTCTTGGCGTGGTCCGTCACGATCCTGATCACGAGGGCGATGGATTCTCTCGTTGGGGGCACGTTCACGTAGCGCTTGCGGGAGACCCAGAGCGTTGCCAGGAACAGAATGACCATGGCGAGACCGACGATGTACACAGTGAAGTAGCCGTAGTCGGCAGGGATCGCACCAAGGCCATGGATGGACACGTACGGAAACGCTGCGTAGCCGATGAATGCACCAACATTAGCGACCGCGTACTGGATGCTGAAGAAGAGGGACTTCTCCGATGCTGGGGCGGTGGGCGGGAACTGGTCTCCTCCGTACGAGATCACGAGCGATCGAAGGCAGACTTGGGAGGTGGCGACGCCGAGGAACAAGCCGACGTTGAAGATGGCTTTGCTCGCACCAATGTGACGGAGCACAGCGGATAACGCTGCAATGGCGAGTAGAAGAAGCCCGAAACAATCGAGTGTAGCGGCAGACAGCAGAGTCTTGAATTTCCCGAGACGCTCGTCCGAGACGTAACCGGCCACAATGCACATGAACTGGCAAAGTGAGTCGAACGTGAGCTTCATGGAAGTGGAGCCCTTGTTGGACCAGCCCAGCTTCTGGAAAAAATTCTTGAGCGACTGGGCGATCGCAAAATTCGTGACTTGGCTAAACGCTGAGAGGACGAACAGGATGATGCAGACATTCTTGAGCACATGCTTGGCGTACTTGGCGGGGCGTTCGTCCCAGAGCTTGGTGCTCACGTAACCCGTGACCGAAGGTGTCAACTGCGGCGTGAGAATCGGAGACGCTTGCTTGGACATCTGCGCCTTTGGGAGCGAATTCAGAAATGAGCTTCATTTATCAACAGGATGGGGGCCTTGCAAACTTAAACCCGCCACGTCGAAAACCACCGACATCTACAATACATGTACAAGGTCACTTGCTTCTACTTGGACCTTTTTCGTACACGATCCATGCAGTGAAGCGCTCGCCAATGAGTCAATGGGCACAAGGCGAGTTGTATTGCGCTGGAAGCTTCGAAAGGTCTCTAATGAAGTTCAAGGGGAACGACATAGTACTGTAGTGACTTCACAGGCAAGTGGCCAAGAGCGCACATGCTGCATGTGGCAACACCAGCGTTGAGAATACATGTAGCGCCGCAGGACACTCAAACATGGCGGGCACTCCACTCGATCAGCAAGCGATGCAAATCTTGAAGCGATAATGCACGTCTTGGCGTCCTTAGCTTTTATTGGCGCTCCAATGCACCTCGTCGCTACGGTACCCGCGCAACGTGTCATGCTCGCGATGCGCAATTCTTCGCGTCAGCTTCTTCCTACAGCAATGTCTGCAGAGAGTTTTCCATCCTTGCCACTTGCTGCTCCAACGAGTCAAGGAGTGTGTCGCTTTCAACTTGCGTCGCTACGAGCCAGCTCTCAACTTGGTTCAAAACTAAAGCCGACAACCCGCCGGTCTGAAGAGCGTGGGAAGCATCACCAGTGTGCATAGGTTTTCGCTTGCGGCACCGCTTGAACTGGTGCGCTGCCTTGTTCACTCGACGACTCAGTTTGCCCCGTTGCTTGGGCTCCCCGTTGCGTAGACGGTGTTGACCCCACGCTGCCTGAATAAGCTGTGCCGCGAAAGCGCGCACATCACGCTCCCACTTCAGACTATCCATGGCAGATAACACTGCATCCTCTCGCTTGGTACCTTTCAGCGAGTCCAGAAACTCGGATGTCATCAGCGATATGAACGCCAAGCCGCCGAAAACTGCGCCCAACACAATGGCAACGCGACCACCTGCCGTTATCGGGTAGGCATCACCGTACCCCACCCCCGTCATGGTGACCAAGGTAAGCCAAAGCGCATGGTCCTCACCATCGAGCTTGGACGGAAATGGCCTCTCAAATATTGAGACTGCAGCGGCTGTGCTCACCCACAGCACCACGAAGAGGGTGAGAAGAACTTTAGATGGCCGCAACGCGAAGGATACTCGAAAACTCCACCACAATGAATCCACAGGAACATCTTTCCCGGCGAGCATTCGAGAACTCATTGTCATTGCCACCACTCGCTTCAAGAGTTGGTTGCGAATTACACGCGCAAGCCAATAGAGTCGCACCAGCACGAACATGTTCACGATCTCTAGAGGGTACGAGTACTCGAGTTCGCAACCTTGGTGGCTAGACTTCATCGTCAGAGGGTTTGGACATGCTGGAACAACTTCCAGCGTAGCCCGAGGTAATGCGAAACGCTCTTCCTCCAGATATACGCGCCCGTGAATCAACGGCGGCAGGAAGACCCCACAAAGAATCATCTCAGCGAGAAGTGGCAAGAGAAGCAGCCGAGGCGACCGCCAGATAGAGCCACCACATTCTTGAGGAATTTGATTCCGCAACACCATAATTTCCATTTTCACGGAGTACCGGTAGTACACTTGGTACAGCAAGAGAACTGTGATCAGGAACAGCAGAGCCGCGTACGTCTCCCCTGGCGACTGCAATGGGAGGTCACGATGGAATTTCGCGGACGAACGCCATATCGCTCGAAACTGCAGCCACACCGTGAGCACTGAAAGCGCTGCCAGTGCAATACAGAAACTGTCGCTGCGAGCGCGAAGCTTGTACAGTATCCGTAGGCGTTGCTGAATGCTCAGAACGCGTTTGGTTGCTGCGGGCACCTTTCTGTTCAGCTTCGTAAAACCCTTCATTCGCTTGTCTTGAGCATCGGAAAGGCCAAGGTACACCGCAAAGCACATTTTACAACGCTCTTTCCTCCATAGCCACCGCGACGCAGTCATACTGAGAAGTAAAGTGGCAAGTGCTGGCGTAAGATCCCACGTCGACCAAGGGAAATAGCGGCTTAACGAACCGAATTCCAACATAAATCGGCTCGTCGTATCGATACTATCGAGACCTTCATCAAGCGAATCAATGTGCGTTGAATTCAACGGGAGCACCTGGAATGTTGTTGAGTTCGCGTATTGTTCGTATTTGTCTGGCGAATACTCTGCAATCTGCAAAACCTGACTGACCTCGAGAGGCAACAACAGCGCCAACACAAGGAAACCACCTAGCCATTTGCTAGAGAAACACAGCCGAAAGCGAATAGGACAACGTAGCGTGAAATGATCAACTGGCAATCCGAACATTCGGGAGCCAAGTGGCGAAGCAAAGCACGGAAACTGAAAGTCTTGTACAACCCAGAGCAGATCTAATGCAACCACCAGCGAACTCAGCAAAGCAAGCCAGGACATATTGCTCAGCCACACGTCCATGTAATGACCCCCCTTCGCTCCATCAAGATACAATCCAGCCCACTCAGTCTGCAACGTTGAGATTGCTCCGAAGTACACTCCACTGATAGTAACCCCAATGAGAGAAAGCCAACACCACACAATACGCACAACCGGAAACTTGATGTACACGCGTCGCACAGACGATAACCAATTGCCGAAAAATACGCGACTGTACTCGCGGTCCTGGAGCACCCAGTCTAACGTCACTAGCAGCTTGATGCAACTGAGCGCCACTAACGCAGTCGACAAGGCTTTTTGCAACTCGAGCTGGTGTAAACTGTTCCACATTTCGCTTCGGTATTCCGGGAAGAGCACATCCTCGACGTCTGACCCCTGGACAAGTTTGAAGATCACAAGCATCACCGCAGCCCAACAGAAGGGGAATGTTGCAGCCACAAACGTCCATGATCCGTGAGAAGTCCCGACGTTCCACACCTGCGAACGCACCACCGGGGTGGCACATGTACTTTCAGCAGTGAAAGTGTGCAAAGGCAATAGTGCTCGTTCATCCCCAGCCTCCGTCTGCATGGTGTCCTCGTTGCCGTTTACCGCGGAGGCTCTGGAGAGTCTAGAAAACGTCTGCGTCGCGTGGCGGTGGGAGCTCTCCCAGTTCCATTGGCGCTGCACCAGGCGCCGGTACGCAACGAATCGCAGCAAAAGTAGCAGCAACACGCTCAGCATACCCTGAAGGATGACTTTCTGCCACGTGAAGCCTGTGCTGATCGCTCTGACTATGGCTCCGTGCACCGGGAAGGAGGCGGGGGTCTTCAACGACGTCAGTAGGGGGGAGGCGACGCCCACGTACAGGCAGAGGAGCGTGTGGGCCAGACAGCACAGCAGCCGCAAGGCCGGGTGCCGTAGTGACGTGACGACCCACTTGGACTTGAGATACACCTGGTCACCGCGCTCGATGGACGCGTCTTCGCTGCGGAAGCGCGACTTGCGCAGCGGCGGCGACGCCAGCATTTTGCCTGATTTGCCTTGGATCGGCTTTTTGGTCGAAAATGAAAGCGGAAATCCCAGATGTTTTTTTTTACTTTTCAGTGAACCGCCGGAAGTTGCAGTTCTGATACATGTACATGTACTTACTGCAAGGAAAGGCTCGAGTCGTAGAAGCACCGCACGCTACACGTTACGTACCTAGCTGTGCGATTCGACTTGGTCATCAGGTATCTGCAACCACGCCGATGCAGTGACCCTCTTTCAACATCGCTGCAGTTTGCTCAACTCATCCAATCAGCTTGATTATCAAGTACCGCACATGTACTGTACTGCAAAGTTATACGGTTGAGGATGAGTCTGTTCATACCTGCGACCTACACGACCAACTCGGAAGCTATCCGGGATATCGGAAGCTATCGACTCACTATTATATTACTGTATCGAACTCGCCCCTTTCATTTCCCACGTCCAATCATGGCTCGCGGCCAAAAGCAGGTAATCTTTGTCTGGATTGCACTTCGACTTCAAGTTGAGTCGGCGCTGGCCAGTTAACCCCGAGCCAATTGACCGCAGCTTGACAAGTAGCCTTCCTCAGTCTTGAATTTTCCGCCTCCTACCCAAGCGACCCGGCAGCAGCGTCTCCACGATGGGCAAGCCCTTCTTCACCATGGAGGATGCCAAGGCCTCCTTCTGCTGCGTCTACGGCATTGACACTCTCGGAATGCCCGGAAACTTTTCCCGTGCCGGCCCTGCGCTGGCGATCGTCGCCATGACCTTTATGGCCTTCGCCAACATCTACGGCGCAGTCGCTATCTGCGCTGCTCGCGCCTACGTCCGTCAAGACGTACGGTGATCTGGGCGAGTGGGTCATGGGCAAATGGGGGCGCTACCTCACCGTCACAGCTCAAATGGGCAACTGCCTGATCGTGCCGTGCGTCTTCCTGGTGCTCGGCGGGACGCTGCTGGACGGCCTCTTCCCTGGCGCCTTCAGCACAACGATGTGGTCCGTTCTCATGGCGTTGCTGGTGTTGCCAGTGTGCCTCGTGCCAACCCTCAAGGAAGGCGCGGGTGTTGCGTTCGCAGGCTGCATGGGGACGCTCGTCGCGGACATCATCGGTATCGCAGTTGTCATGTACGGCATGTGTGGTCATCCCACAGCTCCTAGTCCTGACCTCAACTTCAAACAAGTCGCCGGCGCATTCGGCAACCTGGCGCTTGCATACGGCGCTGGCATCGTCATCCCAGCTCTCCAACGCCAACACAGCGACCCCGCTCGAATGCCACGTGTCGTGTTCGTGACGATGGCTTTTATCACGTGCTGCTTCCTGGTGCTGGCCAGCACGGCGTACTCGTCCGTTGGTTGCCAGATCACTGGTAATCTGCTTTGGTCGATTTACCCGCAGTCGGATACCGGCCTTACCACACTGGGCTTCGCTTCGAACTGGGGTGCCGTCGTTCTGGCGTACCTGTGCATGCAGGTGCACATTACGATCGCCTTCTCCGTCATCGTGAATCCAGCGTTCTACACTACCGAGCGTCTCTTTCTGGGGATGCATACCCGAACGCCCGAGGATGTGGAGAACAATCTGCCAAGCTACGCTGAGGCGACGACACCGAACGAAGCTGCAGATCACATGGACAGATCCCGCCTCTCGAAGCGCTCCTTTATTTACATGGCTGACAACGAGAACGCCCACCTTGGAGAACCCGAGGCCGAAGCTGCCGAATACCGCGGCGCGAACGCTATCAAGTACGTTCTTCTACGAGTCGCGATCGTCGCGATCCTAGTGGTTGCGTCGGTGATCCTCAAAGGCCATCTCTCAGATTTGTCCAACTTCGTCGGGGCGTCGTGCATCACAATGCACTCCATCATTCTGCCCAGCAATGGCAGGTGATGCCGATTTGGGAGAAGACTATGGCAGTGATTATTGTCACCGTGGTGTGCTTCTGCCTGGGCTGCTACGTGACGTACACGTCGGGACAGAACTTGTTTTACCCCAGCGACGGCGATGTAGAATTTCCTTTTGCGGACCCGAGTACGAGAACACTGTGTACTACAACTACACCGCCGCGCACGAAAATTAAGCGGTACCGATGAACAAAGGTCTTTTGTGTGATCCTTGAATAGTTACTCTCGAGAGTTTTGTTTTGCGCGTCCCACCTCCCCGCGTGCCCAGAACTAACGAGACTCCTGTGCATTTAGAAAATTGTGCTGGTAGCGCTCTCTCCTAATTGTATTCTAAATAATGCATTTTTCTGGGATAGCAGTATAATGTATAATGCACTATTTGGAAAAAAGACGGAGTGGTCGGCTCCAGCTTTGGGCTGGAGCACACTACGGTCACGCATGCAAGCTAACGATGTTGCAGGACTTCGACGGTTCTCTCGACGTGGTATGTGGGTGCTATGGAGAAGGACTGCAAGGGGTAAGGCCCGTAACAGCCTACACGATCGCGAATGGTGAGTATCATGTAGACGCGTTACCGGGCAGATGCTGCGGCTGCTTCACAGCCGCAGTAGATGCCCGCAGTTAGAATAAACTAATCGTGTTCTTGACTCGAATTCTGTGTTAGATCAACATTTGTGCTGCAAAACCGCTATCATGGCTCGAGCATAAATTCTCAACTGATACTGGCGATACATAACAAGGAGACCCGAATACGAGTCATTGTGCCCAAGTTTATCCATTGGAAAACGTACTTGCAAGTTCAACCTCTTTACCGTGTCGCTAGTGTTGATCGATAATGTGGAGCTGATGCAGCCATACAACGAGTACGAGGGATTGTCCGTCCAAACAAAACTCTGTAATGTGTCGTTTTATCGACTGCACTGCGCCAAAACGTTTGATCATTTAACTTATCCTACGGACGTACTAATTCGAAATCGAGTGTCGAGGACACGCCCACTATTTAACCTATTTGTTTTTAATGCACCGCCTCGTCGAAAAATACACAAATGTACTGGATCACAGTCCCTAATTTTCCTTACCTAACGTTCCTTAGCTATCCCAGCCAACTCAAAGTTCTCGTTCTGGGATAGCAGTAACCCCGGAGGGTGCTGTGGCCAGCCCAACACAGGTTAATTAGGCGGCACCTCGGTAACTGAAGCCAGAAATACTGAAACCGGAAAACTGGCCCCGGTAACTGAAGTTTACTGCCTATGCTCTCCATCCCTCTCAAATTTGAGACAAGCTCGAGCTCGAGATGGATGGAAAACATCTCCAAAGTTCCGTGTTCGTTCTGTGCTCACTCATGTGGGAGCTGTACTTACTGATCCGCCGGCTGCTCCAGCGAAACCCTTCGCCCGGCTCTCGGAGGCTACAGGACTGTACCCGACGGTGCAGGCAAGCCACAACGACTCGACCAGGTTGGCGATCGCGCCAAGGTACGTAAAGGAGGTCTAGGTAGGTTAGAGAGCAGAACTAGCGAGAGGCTAACCGGAAACGAACTCAGTTTGGGATTTGCTCGGTAGAGAGCTTTCCGTTGGAAACGGATCAACTTTGGTTTCTCAGTTCTACACGGTTCAAGCTCCGCGTGAACGACTTCGCGCGTGACCAGATGGGAGACAAAGACGACGTCAACGTGGACGAGCTGGCAGCTCGGGCCGCGGAATTGCAGCTAGAGCGCGCGGCATCAAGGTCCCCGGTCTGCGGTTGCAGATCCCGAATCCCTTCGAGCGAGAAGATGAAGTCATGGAGACAGCGAGTCAAGCGTCACCTATGCAGCCCGCCCTTGACGCTGGTGCGTCACGGGTAGCGGCGTCACCAGCGTTGCCGCAGCCACCCCGGTTCGAGGGGCGCACGATGCAAGATCGTCGTGACTTCATGCACAAGTACGAGACGTATCTGGGGGCGATCAATGCGCTCCAGACGCAGTGGAGCGGCGCCTTCGCCATGCCTGTGGGCGCCTGCATCGAGTCCAAGACGAAGCGTATGATTGCCCGCTACGAGTTCAACCAGCTGCCTGGCGCAATCCCAGAAGAGCAATGGGTGGCCTATTTCCTACAGGCGAAGGCACCTTCGCACGTGGCCTATACCTCGGTCGACGAGGCAATGAAGGCGCTGCGGATGCGTACGCGTTAGCCCGAGCCGGAGAGCCGCATGATGAATGTTCAAGCGGATATGGAAGCCATACTGGACAGGTTCAACCTCACGGACCTCGCGTTCCAGCACGAGCATGTAGAACTTGGGAGCGACGTAGAACTTGGGAGCGCACCCTGTGGGTTAGAGGGTAAATTCCAGAGTGATTTGATTTCCTTACTGGTCTGAGCTACTCGCGGACCTGTGTACGATCAATCAGGGGGGACAAACCCGGAGTATCTTACCGAGTACTGCCGCTTGCACAAGTCTGACTCAACACCTCCCCCTCAAGCGCAGCTACTCGGATCGTCGCCCAAGAGCTAGTTTACTAGGCCGCACAGGCCGCGCTTGTTCCTGAGTTGGGTGCTTGCCAATGACTTCGTCAGCAAGTCGGCTGGGTTGATGTCTGTTGGGATGTATTCCAGTGCCATGTCTCCTTTGCTCCACGCGTCTTTCAGGGCATGACAGCGGATGTCCACTGCTTTTTGGGCTCCGGACGACCCTTCGCGCTTGCTCCGGTGAATTGTCGGTACATTGTCGACTTGTAGCGTGAGCTTGATCGGGGGCAGGATGTCCTTCAATACCTCGTCGATTTGCAGATTGATCCACTCTGCCTGCAACAGGCCGTCGTTAGCTGCAATGAACTCGGCTGCAGTGCTGGATTGTGCTACGACGGACTGCTTGGTGGACCCCCAGGCCACTGGAGCTCCAAACAGGTAGATGACGTAGCCGGATACAGATTTTCGGTCTGCCTTGTCATTTGCGAAGTCTGCGTCCGTGACTAAATCGATGTCGTCTGTGTTCGGCGCCAACCGCAGCTTGGTGTCTTGGGTGCCGGACAGGTATCTGAGTAGGTGTTTCGCTGCAATCCACGCTGTCTTCCGGGGCCGTGCGCTGTGGCGCGCGAGCTGATTTACGGCAAAGGCAATATCGGGCCTCGACACACGGGCGAGATTCAGTAGGCTCCCCACTACTTGCCGATAAGGCATGCGTCGCATTTCTTCGTCTTCTTCAGCTGAGGGCGGGTCCTCCAATTGGTCCAGTCGAGTGTTTGGTATCATTGGGGTCGAGTTGGGCCGAGAGGGTTGCATGACGAATCGGTGGAGAGCTTCATCCACGTAAGCCGCTTGCGACAACAGAATTTCCCCGTGGTTTTGCTCGATCCGGACTCCGAGGAACTGTGAAGGCCTGCCCATGTCCTTGACTTGGTACCTCACGTTGAGTGCCGCCATGAGCCGCAATACCTGTGCCTCATCTCTGTGGGCAACAAGAATATCGTCGACATAGAGGCACACAAGTAACAGGCTGTCAGCAACTACCATAAAATAAATGCATTCGTCACCTGTGGTCGGCTTGAGTCCGTAGCTCTTGAGGAATCGGTCGATTTCCTTGTTCAACTCTCTTCCAGCTTGTTTCAGGCCGTAGAGAGCTTTTTGAAGCCGCCACACCTTGTTTTGTTGACCCGGTGACTCGAACCCTTTCACTTGTCGTACAAATACTGTTTCCTTGAGCGCTGCTTTGAGGTAAGCTGCCGGCACATCTCCTTGACGCACGTACAACTTGAGCTTGACGACGAGTACGAGAAAAATGCGCACACACGTAAGGTCGGCTACTGGAGCTCGGGTTTCCACGTAGTCGAGAAGAAAGATTTGGCGATCGCCTCGCGCACACACCCTTGCTTTATACTGCACAATTTCCCCTGTAGGCCCTGTCTTGATGCGAAACTGCACAGTATTGTCGAGAATGTGTGCACCAGGAGGAGGGTCGACCAGAATGAAGGTATCGTTTTCTTCCAAGGCCTTGATCTCTTTCCGGATGGCGGCCTCCCAAAACTTCCATTGAGGCGACAGTCGGGCTTCTCGTACTGTCAAAGGCTCGCGAATGACTTCGACGAGACAGATGAAGTCTGAGGTGACGTTCCTAGCAGAGATCCGCTCCGACCGCCTTCGCCTTGTCAATTCAGACGTCCCATTGGCACTCTCAACCTCATCGGGTGACCGGCTGGTGTCTCGGAGGAGTCGTGCGACGGCTTCTTGCGTGGCCACGGGTGGTGTCGTGGTTGCTGAAGGCGCATCCAAATCGGCTTCATCTTGCGTTGGGGTGGGTTGGTCATCTTCGAGCACTACTTCGTCCACGAGCATTGAGTCTAGGACGATAACGTCCGTAGTCTCCTTAATAGGGCGACCATGACCGGGAACAAACACCTTATATCCCCGAATTTCCTCGCTGAATCCGACGAAGCCTCCGATATTCCCCCGTCCGTCAAATCGATAGTTTTTCCTCCGGAGTGGTTCGGGTGTTCTCACGACCACAGTTTGCCCGAAGATCGGGCAACCCGCAAGCGAGGGTTTTGCACCGAACAATCGTTGGTGAGGTGTCGCTGAGAGCCCGCGCTTGGGAATCCGGTTGCGAATGTACGCGGCATGTTGAAGTGCATCCTCCCACAGATAGTGAGGTAAATGACTGTCTATCAGCATTGCCGCGGCCGCTTCGGTGAGCGTTCGGATCGCTCGCTCTGCCACCCCGTTTTGGCTACTACGGTAGCGGGTCGTGTGCTGGTGCCTGACACCTTCTCGAGAAACCAATTGCCGAAAGTCTTCGCCTACAAACTCCGTTCCGCCGTCCGTGCGAATGGTTTTGATACTGGAAGCGGGTATACTTGCCTGACGCTCGATGAACCTGAGGATTTCTTCAGCTTGTTGCCCTGCTTCGCTCTTGTGCCGCAGTCCATAGACCTTGACGTAGTCGCGCCAAACAACTACCATGAAGTATTCATTCCCGTGGTATGATCGCTTCACTGGTCCGCTGAGATCGATGCGGCAGACTCCGTCAGCGACTTCATCGCTGCTGCTCCGCTGTGTTGGGGCTGACGCTGTAGTGATCTTGGCTAACGCGCACGCTTTGCACGCAGGAGGATCTGCACCCGGAGCCACCATGACACCTCTTACGGCTTGAGACGACGCTAAGCGCCTGCAGTCCGTAAGGTTGAAATGTCCGAGGCGACGGTGCCAGGTCTCCAGTGATACATTCGTTCTCAGAGTTGCGAGCAAAGCAGCACCTGGCTCACGTTGGGTGACCGCCAAAACCGATTCGGGAGTGACGATCTCGTAGACACCATTTACTTCCAGTGCGTGGAGCGCGGTACTTCTCGCGCGTCCTAGCACGGCACTCCACTCGTTATCTTCGAAGCGCACAATGTAGCCACTCTTCACCAGCTGGGAAACGGAAAAGAGCGTCGCTGAGAGTGTCGGAACGTGATACACGTTGTCGATAGAGAGTATTCGCCTCTCGTGCTTGCCTCGCCGAGTCACCAATATGTGGAGTAGCGCCCTCGCAGAAATCTCGCGAATGCGATCTCGCACAAACTTGGCGCGTCTGGATAGCGGTCGCGCCGAGCAAATTATTCCCGGTTGTTGGAGTAGCGTATCTTCGAAATAAAGGCCCAAGTCTTCGCAAGCTTCGGAGCTGGGGGGTTCTTGTGGTGACGCTTGTTCCTTGTCGTAGGGCGTCGCGTCGAGCCTTGGGCGTGCGGCGTTATCGGGCCGGCGTTTCCTCGGCGTTCCCGTCGGGCGTGCGGCGTTATCGGGCCGGCGTTACCTGGGGCTTGTGTGGCGTTATCGGGCCTACAGGGGGGTCTTGTGCACGGCGGTTATCAGGACAGTGCGGTCCTTCGCCTAGGCAGCGCGTTATTGGGAGCCCACCTAAACGGTATACGTTTAACGTGCCTTTGTTCCAGCACGGGTCTGTGGGGGGGGGGGGGGGGGGGGGGG